CCCTAAAGAAAATGAGCAAAAGAACTGGTAATGACGTTCCAAAAACAAAAAAGAAAACAAAAACCTACCACAACTTATCTTTATGGCCCAAGCCAAAATTCAGGTCCAGGTAGCGTTCTCTAAAGAAAAGAAGTAAAAGGAACATTAATAGCGTTCTAAAGACAAAGAAAAATAAAAATTTCACAAGAAAAGCAGCAAAAGGAACGTTAATGGCGTTCCAAAGATAAAGAAATAAAAACAATCCCCCATACTACCTACCTTCATAATCCAAGCTGAAATCCAGGTCCAGGAAGGCGTCTCCTAAAGAAAAAAAGCAAAAGAAACGTTAATGGCATTCCAAAGACAAAGAAAAACAAAAAAACCACAAGAAAAGTAGCAAAAGGAACGTTAATGGCATTCCAAAGATAAAGAAACAAAAACAATCTTCCACACCACCTTACCTTATAGCCCAAGCCAAAATCCAGGTCCAGGAAGGTGCCCCCTAAAGAAAAGAAGCAAAAGAAACGTTAATAGCGTTCCAAAGACAAAGAAAAACAAAAAAACCATAAGAAAAGTAGCAAAAGGAACGTTAATGATATTCCAAAGATAAAGAAACAAAAACAATCCTCCACACTACCTTACCTTCATAGCCCAAGCCAAAATCCAGGTCCAAGAAGGCGCCCTCTAAAGAAAAGAAGCAAAAGGAACGTTAATGGTATTTCAAAGACAAAGAAGAAACAAAAATAATACCTCCACATCACTTACCTTCATAGTTCAAGCTAAATCCAGGTCCTCTAAAGAAAAGAAGTAAAAGGAGCATTAATGACGTTCCCAATGACAAAGAAAAAACAAAAGCACCAACTTACCTTCATAGCCCAGCCGAAATTCAGGTCCAGGAAGGCGTTTCCTAAAGAAAAGAAGCAAAAGGAACGTTAATGGCGTTCCAAAGACAAAGAAAGACAAAGAAAAACAAAAAAAAACCCACACCTAACTTACTTTCATGATCCAAGCCGAAATTCAGGTCCAAGAAGGCGTCCCCTAAAGAAAAGAAAGAAAGGAATGTTAGTAACATTCCAAAAAAAAAAACCGAATTTACCCCCTATTCCAACATACCTTTTAATCCTAAATTCCGAAGTCCAAGTCCAAGTCCATGTCCATGTCCGATCCTAAAGAAAAAAAGGGGGTTTTTTTTTTTTAAAAAAAAAATAAAATAAAAAAAAATGACCGGATTATCTGATCAATCCGGTCATCCGCATAACGTCCGATCAATCCGATGTTATCCGAGGATCACATCCGGATTATCCGCGATCCGTTCATTCATAATCCGAATGATCCGTTTTTTGATCAGATCGGATGACGGATTGAACGGATTTCACCGGAGCATACCTCTAGTATATGGGAATATTATGAAAATAAAGTATATTGGTAAGTGTGAATCGAAAATATTGCATTGCTTATTTACCTCAGTTGCTAATCTCCCGAATTTATGCTATAGGTTCGAAATTAATTAATATTGGGAAAGTTCTCTTGGGGGAAATAATCTTTAGTATAGTCTGTGCGAGCGGGATGATATAGATAGACGAAAATTCTGTAGATATAAGTGGAGTAATTTATTTCAGAATTCTATTGTAAAGAAAGATTATGGGGGTGAGAATCTTGTAGTTAGTAATAGATGTAGAAATAAATTATTTGTAAAAATTATTTCGAGAGCAAAATAATGTGATGCTGGGACTCGCATTAAATGGCCTAGGATCCGCGTACTCCCTCCCTCTTTGATAGTATCATATTATTTCACATCACATAATATATTATCACTTATCTCATAATAAAGTTTTCGGGTTTATAAATTTTTAATTATGTGTGGAAGTGTGTTCATTTTAAAAGTGTATGTTATTAATTAACTACTGTATGATGGAGATAAGAGGCTGGTTACTATCAAGAGATAACTTGAAAATCAACTGACTCATAACTTCACCGCCAAATGAGTGGACAGCGTGAAGTTATGGCGTCTCCAAAGTAAATATATACCAAGGGAAGCACTCGCCGCCGATTGAGTGGACTGCACGAGTAACTTCAGCAAAGTCAGCAGGTCAACTACTGCCGCCGATTGAGTGGACTGCACAACAGTTGTTAGTACCAAGCAACTCATAACTTCACCGCCAAATGAGTGGACAGCGTGAAGTTATGGCGTCTCCAAAGTAAATATATACCAAGGGAAGCACTCGCCGCCGATTGAGTGGACTGCACGAATAACTTCAGCATAGTTGCGCCCTCAAACAATAATACCAGTAGAAAATCTCCATAAAAAATCCCAAATATATATCCGGAGTCGACGAGTGACGATCTGTCACGTGTAGTTATTATTGAATAAAAAACGCGTCACTATATAAACTACGCGTATAAACTTGTCCTGTTTACTTGATTACTAATTCGTTATGACTGCTGTACTAAGATCTACGAATTTCTTAACCTTTAAGATTCCTGATAATAAAAAAGCCCATAGTTATTTTAAAAACGTAGAGGCCAGGTACTGGCAATTGAAGCATTACCTAGGCTTTCGTTTGAAAACCGACGAAATAATCTTACCGTGGAATACTGTATATGACGATTGGAGACAAACACTCGCTTATATTTTCAAGGACTATTATAAAATAGTTCCAAGCTCTGTATCTGCTTTTTGTAAAGATTTATATTATATTTGTGACACGTTTGAAGCACCGTCGTACGGGAAAATTGTGAAAAGTTCTATAATGAATTTTATCAACTGCATCTCGATCAGCAAATTGCCGAAAGAATCCGTCAACTTGATTGTACAGTGTTTTCGGAACGTACAATTTCGGAAGTTTTACGAATGTCAAATAAAAAGCGATTAGTTGAAGCAGAATCTTCCAGTGGAAAACGAGCTCGGCATTTCACACCCGAATCAGAATTGGTTTGTACTTAAATCCATATTGTTTGCTGTGTGGTGTAGTATGTTATCGACATATTCTTACTTGTCTTTACAAGCCCCAAGATCACGAAGAATATGAAGATGAAACAAGCTGAATCTTTCGAATGAGGTATAAAAATTCTTAGTTAAAATTATTGTTTAACAATGTTAATTAACTTACAACTTCCGGACAGTCCGATTTATGTAACAACCAAGAAGAAAACATTGATGAGTATGAGACACGTTCACAGGAGATGAACACAATTTTATCCAATTTTCGAACATACCAACATGAAACCAGGAATATACTTTCGGAAAATGGGATAATGGACTTGAGTCCGACATCAGAATTTGTTCTTCTATATACAAAAGAAACGGATTATTATAAACTGATAGAAGAAATTTTGAACCGATCGACAAGATGTTTCCAGAAGAAGCGCATAAATTTCTAACCAATTTCTTTTCAGAGGTGATTGTTATCCAAACTCTTTATATAGGAATATTAGATTTTTTTGCCTTACCATCATCTTATTTACAGAAATTGAACGAGGATCAGTGGGAAGAGAAACTTGAAGGTTTGATGGAAGTTAAAGGGAATCCAGAAAGTTTTTGTCAGCAATCCGGGGAGAATTCAGGACAGGATAAATTTATTATAATTTTAAAAAGATTCTTGTTAGAAACATTACCAATATTGTAAGTATTTGGAAAGTGCTTCTTTTTTTTTAGAGATATTAACATTCACTATTTCTAGTCTTGATGCCTATAAACTGATGTCAGAGAATCCGCTAAGGATCGTGAAATGGCAGAAGATGAATATATGAATACCTTCGTTCATCCCATCTTAAAGAAAGCACTATTCGATTTTCTGGGATCCGATATGTTCCATAAGAATAGATTTCAACTTTTTTATCACATTATTATGTAGCTGTATTATGTTTAACTTTATCGTGCTCTGTAGAGGTAACAAGGCTATTAAAGCTTCTGCTTATCGAAAAACTGTAATGAATCAAGATGGTAATGCAGATCGTGCAGATGGCATTGCATATACAACGAATCAGCAAAATTCTTATGAGATCTCCGTTACTGAAGGCAGTAGACCATATGTTATTGAAATGAATAAGGAAACAAATGATTTCATCCAAAATGCAAGAGCAGAGAAGGATATGATCAACTTTGCAGTGACACGAGAAGTATTGCATAAACGGGCACTGCCATCATACTTTCGTACGTTCATGGTTCAGGTTTTTGAGTTTAATCTACGTTTTTATTTCATGGACTATCTCGGTATGTGCACATATCAGAACTTAATATGATAAAAATCATAAACTAACTTTTTTCTCATTTTATAAAAGCACAGTATTGTATTTTTGAGATTGAAACATGTGAAATACCTACGGATGGAGAGAAACCCTTCAGTTTACTTCTTTTTACAGGGCAATTGTTGACATGGGCGGTAAGTCTGTTGTTTTTATTGGTTTTATGAGGAATTTCTTCTTACTGATTTACATTTCATTTTGTAGTTATTGGTTGGGAAAGCCGACAAAAAATTTCAGGAATCCAGAAATAAAAGGAGTTCTCGTCTAAGCAACTGTAATAACATTCGAAAACTGGTAAAACTTTTACATAATAATGCTCGGAAAGGCAAAAAAAAAGGATATGACGATGACCAAGCTTATCTGAGTGATATTAAATTTTATCATTTCATAGGAAAATTCATTGTACTTAAACATTGATGTAAAATTAATCCTTATATATTAAAACTAGCTAATATAATGAATTAAAATTGATGATCTGTAAATTCAGATTTCCAAACGGGAAAAATGAGATTCGTGATTGTTTATGCATGCGAGATATCATAAAAATAACATTGGTTTAGTTTTACTATATGTGGATCTTAGTTTATTGTATGATGAGTTTGTGTAATGTTACTCTGCAGATATTTTTTCTTCGAGACTATGACAAATAAGCCGGATGATGGAAGACAGGTGTGATCCGCAGGCATATGCTATTTCACTTCGTAAAACAAATCTATGTATCACCAAATCTTTTTTATATCAATAAAAGTCGCATTTAGAGATTCAGATCTAATTTAACCGAATCATAATGTCAGGCACAGCACCTTCGGCTAAATCCCTGATATGTTTGTAATCAAATAAAAATGAATCTAATAATTTATTTATAATATACGTGTTACAAACTGCTATAAGTCTTTAAAACCGCTATAAATCAATAAAATAAAATGATTAAAACTAACTACTATTCTGGTTTAAATCCTGTAGTAATGCAGGCATTAAACAATTTGCAATATAGGTATAGTGGTGAAACACCAGAAATGAGGTGTTTTCATGTTTGTTATCCATTTAAGAAACTTCTTGAATATAATTCAAAATACTTCTCCAAGAATGGATTTATTCAAATGATTGAAAGATCATATAAAGATGGGGAATTTAAAGCTGGAAGACGCTCATTTCATATTTATTGCACTGTATGTGACTCCTTAGTAATTATCCATGAAAATACTATCAAATGTGACAATGATCATCTGAAGAAATGTATTACTAAAACCGCTAAGATGCATCTTACATATTCTAATTCTATACAGAAAATGTGAAAAAAGAAGTGTCATCAGAACTAAGTGATGATGAGATTGATAAAATTTATAGTAATATTTATTTTAGATACAGAAAAAACTCTGAATTTTATTGTTCTCATGCTTCAAAAGAAATTAAGAAAGTATGGCATATTGATTAATTAATAGTGCAAAAGTTATCTAATAGGCTTGAAGAACTTATAAGTCAAAACCTGAATTTAGGCAAAACGAGTTTAGAATATAGTGAGAAATAATAATATTCCTGACGAGAAGAAGTATTCAGATATAACTTCTCGTGATATAAGAATTTCTGATGATCAATATGTAAACTATTTTTGTTAAAGAATTCTAGCTAGAGATGTATTTGCATATTATCAGAATGATCCTAAATTACGTGATTTATATTATTATTATATTCCACATGATTGAGCAGAAAAGAAGAAAGACCAGTTATATGTTCGACTAACTACTGTAGCATATATAGTTACTTTTATAAAATTGTATCAGCAAAATTATAGATTCATTGATTATAGTGATTAGACTATTATGTTAAAATATCTAGCAAATCCTAGACATTACTATACTACTAAAAACTATTATAACAATATTGTTACAAACTTTGTTAAAATTTCAAAATATGCATAATATAAATGTAAAAAGGAAGGCAAACTATATCCATGTAACTCACTAGAAATTGACATGTTCAAATCTTTCTATATTACTACTTTCGATAGAGGATTAACTATTATAAATTTCTCAGATTTTAACAATAATTATGAGTATATGTAACAGATTTTCTGGATCATAGATTCTCTATCAAAATAGATATTATATATTTATTATAATAATTTATTTTTTACTTCACTTTGCCACAATGCATATAGATATGTGTGACATAAATTAGCATATTTTTAATTCTCGTTAAAGTATATATAATGTAATATTGAGATCTTTAATATACATTCTACATACCCTTATTCTCGAACACAAAATTTTGGCGTAAAGTGCCTTACACAGTTTCTCCTATCTCTTTTCCCTAATATGAATGTGAGTTAAAGAGGATATGAATGAAGAAGTCACCAAAGATTTAAAAGGACAAGTGTATATAATTCAAGTTATTTATCGCTTATTATATTTTCAGCAAAATTCTAATACTATATTTTTTATTATTATGTCTTTTTTTGCATTATATGAAAATATTTATAATTTTTTACTTGATTCACCCTTAGGTCATATTACCATATTTTCTATTATTTTTCAACTAATAGAAGATGATGCGTGATATTCAAAAGATATATTAAAAGAAATAATTCATCAAATAATTATAGTAGTGAAAAAGAATTACGATCAGACTTTAGAAAAATATCTAAAACTCATTGATATTCTCTTAAAGGTTAGTGATTATTACTATTATTTTTCAGATTTATAATCTCAAATGATGATTACGCAGAATGATATTTTTATAATCAGATTAAGTGAGTACCTATAGTCATATAGACACAGATTTAATCGAACACATTAATTTCTTAGACACATAAAGGTGGATCTTAGTTATAGTTTATAAAGAAAAAATATAGCATTCATATATATTATCAATTATATGCAGGTCACATATAGTTGATGATTTACTTGAAATATGTTGATGGATATATGCATATAATTCTAATATCAAAAGATTAACTATATTAGTACTAATATAAGACTTTTGCATTAGTTTAATGATGTATATAAAGATATAAGTAGTATTCAGAATATTAAAGAATCAAAATAAAAAGAACCATTTACTAAAAATGAAATCGAAACAAATTTGCGTGTGTTGAAAACTGATTTTAAAAATAGTAAAGCTTTGTATGCTCACTACTTCTATAAATATTTAAAGAAAAAAAGTGCTTTAGATTTATTATAGCGTATTCTACTTACTAGTTAAGTAATTTGTGTAGATTTAGAAATAGTGAGAATTTTGGAAGTAAATGCATATAACTTTTTTATAGTGAGTAATTTAGTAAATAGTGTTTTATATTACCATAGTCTACTTTTAGCAAAGAGTATCATATTAATATTGTGATCTTATAGGATTCAATAAAGCATATAAAAGTAACTGCTCCAGACCTTATCAAAAATAATTGTGATTCCTTCATTTTGAATTTCATAGATAGTATTACAGATGTCTTAAGTAATAGACTTTTACATGATAAAAGTTAAAAAAAATCTAAGCAAAAGTTATATTAGATATACTTGATATCTTATGAGTATTTTAGTAATAAAGTTTTAATAATCATATTTACTATTTCTTAAAATTTTTGTTTGAAATTATATTTTAACATTATTCTTTATAGAAGAGATATTTGAAAAAATTCCGCCTTTAGTCTAAAGTTGGTTAAGTCATAAAGTGAAAAGACATATATTACTGATATAATAGTTCTGATAATTTGAGTATTATTAAAAGATCTTCTAATTGGAAAATCTAATTATATTTTTACAGCTGAATGTCAAAGTATAGCTAGCAAAAATCGAAGAGGAGTTAGAAAATGACCAGATATTATGTTCATTACTAGTTATAATAATAGGTCATATGAATTAATTTATAGTGAAAATTTCTATATAATTTGTGACGAACAAAAAGAGAAAAATGATAAAATAAAAACTTGGAAAGATAAATAATAGAATGTTTTGGGCTCACAAAGGATGCAAGCTCAACAAAGATGATTTTGATATTATTAGAATTCAAATCACCAGAATTGAGATACATCTAAATATCCTCATTTGAAGTATAGATGAGATATATCATTTCTATAATTTATGTAAGTTAAAATTTTAATATCGCTAACAGATGGAATACAGTATTTAAATTTGTTGAAACTTTATTGACAATATAGGTATGTGAAATGCAATTCTTATATTTCACTTGCTTAAAATTAATACATACTTATAATTATAAAATATCTTGCACATTAATATATCTCTTCTGTATTATGTGTTTTTAACTAGTTTATATAGTAATACATAGCTTCACAGTATCTTTTCTATCAAGATCATCATCACTACTAAAAATGAAAAAAAGAAAGTCTATAAAATTTGAAAAAAATAATTTAATTGTTATTTGTATTACTGTTTCAATAAAATGCCCTGATAGCTGATTATTTTAAAATTTTATGAAATTCCATTTTTTTTACGCAATGTAAAAATATATAATAACATTTAATCAGGTATATTCTGACTTACTAGCAAAATTACCAGCTTTCCTATTAAATGAGACATAGATATATCTTACATTACAGAAGCGTAACCCATTATCTGAGAAAAAAGTTAGTGAAATTAATTCAATTGTAGAGTCATTTTTAAAACATGAAGCTATTAGATATCAAAAGAGATTAATATATTAGAGATGGATCCAAAATTGGCCAGAGTGTTAGACATCTTTATCTTTCAAAGAAATATCAACTATATACATTACAAATAATGAGTTCCAAATCGATAATATCACTTAATTGAGCTAGATATTAAAGCATGATCATAAAGAAAAGAATAATCATCAAGTTATTAATGAGCTTAAAGTACTATCTCAATACCTACTCAATTATAATAGATAAACTTTTGAGAAATTTATACATGACATAGAAAAGGAATATAGAAAGTGGATTAATGCAAATAAGAAAATGTGCTATAAAATCAAATATTTGAAGATGCAAGTGCTAAAGGTGGAAAAAGAGCTGACATCTATGAAGTTGGATTCTCACTAAGAAGTGGTATATCCCAGCTGAAACGTACTCTGTGTAGATATTCACAAGATATAGTTAGATCAAAAATAATGAATTTTGCTTATATAAATGCTTATCAATAATCTTAATCACACTACGTCAGTCATTAGTGTATTGACGCACAATTCTGACTAGCTTATCTTTAGTGCATGACCTGTTAAATAGGCAGATACATATGAGATTTTTTCATATTATCTTTGAACAGGCAAAGTAACTTTGTGATACATATATCGAACTGACATTATAATGGCACCTTTCAACAAAATAATAAACAATTTTCTCTTGCATTTTTTTCGAATCAGCACATATATCTTTGAAAATAGTCACTGTATCTCTATCTAGAGAAAATGAATCTATCTTAAAGATTTTATCAGACTTCAAAGCC